AAAAAATGAAAAAAAGAATAAAAACTTCTTTTCATTATTTTTTCATTCTTCTTCTTTCTTCTTTTCATTCTTCTTTTCATTTTCTTCTTTTCCCTCGTTCTTCTTTTATTCTTCTTTTCATTCTTCTTCTTTTCTCATTCTTCTTTCATTCTTCTTCTTTTTCATTCTTCTTTTCAATTCTTCTGAGAAAGAATGAAGAATTCTTCTTTTCAAGATTCGCGAAGAATGAGAAGAAGGAATGAAAAGAAGAATGAAAAGAAGAATGAAAAAAGAAAGAATGAAGAGAAGAAGAGAGATTGAGAAAAGAAGAATGAAAAGAAAGAAGAGAAGAAGAAGAAGAATCAAGAGAAGAATGAATGAAAAGAAGAAGAAGAATGAATGAAAAGATCTTCTTTAAGAAGTCATTCTTTTCTTATTAGAAGAAGAAGAAAAGAATCTTCTTCTTTTCATTCTTTCATTCTTCTTTTTCATTCTTCTTTCTTCTTCTCTTCTTCTTCTTCTCATTCTTCTTTTCCTTCTTCTTCTTCTTCATTCTTCTTATTCTTCTTCTCATTCTTCTTTTCATTCTTCTTCTTCTTTCATTCTTCTTCTTCTTCTCATTCTTCTTTTCATTCTTCTTCTTCTTCAAGAAGATCTTTTTCATTTCTTCTTCTTTTTCATATCCTTCTTCTTCTTCTTCTTTTCATTCTTTCTTTCATTCTTCTTCTTCTTTTCTTCTCTATACTTCTTTTCATTCTTCTCATTTTCTCTTTTCTTTCTTCTCATTCTTCTTTTCTTCTTCTTCTCCTTTTCTTTCTTTTTTCTTCCTTCTTCTCATTTCATTCTTCTTCTTCTTTTCAATTCTTCCTTCATCTTCTGAGAAGTCTTCCTCAAAAGAAGAATGAAATCTTCTTTAGAATCTTCTTTTCAAGAAGACCATTCCCAAATCTTCTAGAATTCAGAAGAATCTCCTTCCTTCTTTCCAGAAGAATGAAGAATGATCATTCTTCTTCTTCAAGAATGAAAAAGAAGAAGAAGAATGGAAAGATGAGAAGAATGAAAAGAAGAAGAAGAAGAATCTTTTCATTCTTCTACATTCTTCTTTTCATTCTTCTTCTTCTTCTTCTTTTCTTCTTCTTCTTCTTTTTCATTCTTCTTCTTCTTCTTTTCATTCTTCTTTTCATTTCATCTATTGTTTCCATTTATGGAAACAAATAGATACAATGTTTCAACCGCTGTAAATGTGAATGTCAGAGAACTGTCAGAAATAGAGGAGCTCTGCAGATACACTTAGCGGAGCTCTGCAGATACACTTTTTGCCGGCTTGGAATTCTTCTTATTTTCATCCTACTTCTTCTTCTTCTTCTTCTTCATCCTCATCCTCTCATCTCTCATCCTCAAGAAGAAGAGGAGGATGAGGATGAGGAAGAAGAAGAAGAAGAAGAAGAAGAAGAAGTAGGATGAAAATAAGAAGAATTCCAAACTGTATCTGCAGAGCTCCTTCTATTTCTGACAGTTCTCTGACATTCACATTTACAGCGGTTGAAACATTGTATCTTATTTGTTTCCATAAATGGAAACAAATAGATACAATGTTTCAACCGCTGTCAAAAGTGAGAGGAATGCTCAGAGATACTGTCTTAGCGGAGCTCTGCAGATACACTTAGAAGGAGCTCTGCAGATACACTTTTTGCCGGCTTGGAATTCTTCTTATTTTCATCCTACTTCTTCTCTCTTCTTCTTCTTCTTCTTCATCCTCATCCTCAGAAGAAGAAGAAGAATGAAAAAGAAGAAGAAGAAAGAAGAAGAAAAGAAGAAGAAGAATGAAGAAGAAGAAAGAAGAATGAGAATGAAGAATGAAAGAATGAAAAGATTTTCTTCTTCTTCTTCATTCTTCTTTTCATTCTTCCATAAATGGAAACAAATAGATACAATGTTTCAACCGCTGTATGGAGTGAATGTCAGAGAACTGTCAGAAATAGCGGAGCTCTGCAGATACACTTAGCGGAGCTCTGCAGATACACTTTTTGCCAGCTTCTTGGAATTTTTCTTATTTTCATTCTACTTCTTCTTCTTCTTCTCTTCTCAATCCTCATCCTCTTCTTCTTCTTCTTCTGAGATGAGGATGAAGAAGAAGAAGAAGAAGATGAAAAAATAAGAAGAAATTCCAAGCTTGCAAAAAGTGTATCTGCAGAGTCTCTAAGTGTTCTGATGCTGCAGAAATAGAGGAGCTCTGCAGATACACTTTTTGCCGGCTTGGAATTCTTCTTCTTTTTCATCCTTCTTCTTCTTCTTCTTCTTCCTTCTTCTTCATCCTCATCCTCTTCTTCTTCTTCTATGAGGATTTTTTCGAAGAAGAAGAAGAAGAATAAGTCTTGAAAATAAGATCTTGTATCTGCAGAGCTCTTCTTTTCTAAGTGTATCTCCTTCAGAGCTCAGCGGTTGAAAGAAGTGAATCCTCTTCTTTGTCTTCCATTTCTTCTTCTTCTTCTTCAAATCTTCATACATTGTTTCAACCACTGTAAATGTGAATGTCAGAGAACTGTCAGAAATAGAGGAGCTCTGCAGATACACTTAGCGGAGCTCTGCAGATACACTTTTTGCCGGTTTGGAATTCTTTTATTTTCATTCTACTTCTTCTTCTTCTTCTTCTTCTTCATCCTCATCCTCATCCTCAGAAGAAGAAGAAGAGGATGATGATGAAGAAGAAGAAGTAGGATGAAAATAAGAAGAATTCCAAGCCGGCAAAAAGTGTATCTGCAGAGCTCCGCTAAGAAATTCGGAGAGCTCTGCAGATACATTTTTGCCGGCTTGGAATTCTCCTTTTCATTTCTCATCCTTCTTCTCTTCTTCTCATCCTTCTCCTTCTTCTCATCCTTCTTCTTCTTCTCATCCTTCTTCTTCTTCTCATCCTTCTCCTTCTTCTCACCTTCTTCTTCTTCTCATCCTTCTTCTTCTTTCTCCTTCTTCTTCTTCTTCTCATCTCCTTCTTCTTCTTTCTCATCCTTCTTCTTTCTTCTTCTTCATCATTCTTCTTCTTCTCATCCTTCTCCTTCTTCTCATCCTTCTTCTTCTTCTCATTCTTTCTTCTCATCTTCTCTCATCTTCTCCTTCTTCTCATCTTCTCCTTCTTTCCTTCTTCTTCTCCTTCTTCTCATCCTTCTTCTTCTTCTTCTCCTTCTCCTTCTCTTCTCATCTTCTTCTTCTTCTTCTCTCTTCTTCTTCTTCTCTTCTCTCCTTCTTCTCTCCTTTTCTTCTTCTCTCTTCTTCTTCTTCTCATCCTTCTCCTTCTTCTCATTCTTCTTCTCCTTCTTCTCATTCTCATCTTCTCCTTCTTCTCATCCTTTCTCCTTCTTCTCATCCTTCTCCTTCTCCTTCTTCTCATCCTTCTCTTCTCCTTCTCTTCTTCTCTTCCTTCTCCTTCTCCTTCCTCTCTCCAAGGGCATTTAAATTAAAGGTACAGTGTTCTGCACTAATTTAAAGGCTCTCTGAAGCCTAGAAACCCTTTTTATAAGTTAAATTCGTAGCGAATAAATTCGCATCGAATCGAATTTCTTCCTCAAATTCGGCGAATCAGCCGAATCGAATTTTTGAATAATTCGCTCATCTCTAAATATAAATATAATAATAATTAATTTCTTGAGGCCCTTAAAATGCCAGGACAGTACAAATAACCCAAATGACCCCTTTTTGGAAAGTAGAAAGTCTGAGGTATTTAGCAAGAGGCATGATGAGTTTTTTGACGTATTTTTTTGTCCCAAATATTTTTAATGTGAATTAAAAAAAACAATGTTTTTCACAGATGTTTTACATACTGTCACTAGGGTATTTCTGTGTGTTGACTGGGACTTTTCACAGTGCTAATAAGGGAGGACTTTATTCACTTACGCTCCGCAACATTTTACTCGCTACATGACAAGACTATTTTTTTTCTATTTGGCACTGCAGTACTTTAACTGGCAATTGCGCTGTCATGCAGCACTGTACCCAAATTAAATTTATATCATTTTTTTCACACAAATAGAGCTTTCTTTTGGTCATATCTGATTACCACTGGGTTTTCTATTTTTTATTATGCAAACAAAAAAGACTGACAATTTTTGGGGAAAAAAACAGTATTTTCTACTTGCTGTTATAAAATATATCCAAATAAAAAAATTTAAATGTTTAAATTTCTTTATAAATTTTGGCCATAATGTATTCTGCTACATGTCTTTGGTAAAAAAAAATCCCAATAAGTGTATATTAATTGGTTTATGTGAAAGTTACAGCATCTACAAACTTGATCAGCTCTAATGTACTGACAGCCTATCCCATTTCTTGAGGCCCTAAAATGCAAGGACAGTACAAATACCCCCCAAATGACCCCTTTTTGGAAAGTAGACAGTTTGAAGTATTCAGTAAGAGATACGGAAAATTTTTTGAAATTGTAATTATATTTGTCACAATGTTATTACAAATGAAGAAAATAAATAAAATTATTTTTTTTTAACCACTTGCCTTCCTGAGGATTTATCCCCCTTCCTGACCAGGCCATTTTTTGCATTACAGCGCTGCGTTACTTTAACTGACAACTGCGCAGTTGTGCTGTGCTGCACCCAGATGAAATTTATGTCCTTTTTTTCCCACAAATTGAGCTTTCTTTCAGTGGTATTTGATTGCCTGTTTTTTATTTTTTGCGCTATAAGCAAAAGAAGACCGACAATTTTGAAAAAAAAAACGAAATTTTTTACTTTTTGCTATTAAACATGTCCAGTAAAAAAATTAAAAAATCAAATTTCCTCATAAATTTTGGCCAAAATGTCTTTGCTAAAAAAAATCCCAATACGTGTAAATTAATTGGTTTACGTGAAAGTTATTGCGTTTACAAATGGTGGTGTAGATACTGGGATTTTTTTTCTCCTACTAGTAATGGTGGCGATCAGCGACTTGTAGTGGGACTGAGGTGGGCATTCTGACACTGGGGGGAACTAACTTGGTGTCACTGACATCACCGGTGACACCAATACAGTGATCAGTGCTAAAAAACAGCACTGACACTGTACTAATGGCACTGGGAAGAAAGGGGTTAATGTGAGGGGCGATCAAAGGGTTAACTGTGTGTAGGGGGTGTTTTACTAGGGCAGGGGGGTGCTTCACTGTAAGCACACTGATCTGGAGCAGTGTGCCCAAGCTTACAGGGAGGAAGACTGTAAACAAAACAGTTTTCCTCCCCATCTCAGATTGTCGGTAATCACCGGGCACCGGCGGGTAATCACCCAGGCCAGGACCCGCTGATTGACGCGGGTAGGGCACGCATGTGGCTCACAGGTGCCCCCTACCCGGAAATGCAAAATCACATATATACGTGATTTTGCACACCTGTGCCACTGTGTAGCAGTATATCTGCTATACGGCGGTGGGTAAGCGGTTAAACACATTTTCTTTTTTTTTTTTTAAATACTGTCACCAGTGCAGTACAGTTCTGTTGTATGACTGGTATGACAGTGATCAGAGACACTAACTGGTGACAGTATGTGGAAAGAAAAAAAACTAACTTTTTTAAACATTTTTTTATTTTTTTTTTTTTACTATTTTTTTAATACTTTTTATCAGAGTAGTTCTGTGTCACCATAGTAACACTGTACTACTCAGGGAAAGGAGGTTGATCAGGGATTTGTTTGTTTTTGGTTTTTTTACACACTTTGATTTGTTTTTACGGTGAAGTTCACTGTAACAGCAAAGTTTTGAACTGTCATTATTGGGTAACATTCATAACAGCTGTGATTTTACTTTTGTGATCTGTGATTGGCTCACAACTATAACATGCTACAGGGTGCTGTGATTGGCCCATGTACCATATGATAGGAAACACAGCTGTTATGAATAGAGTTCATTTATAACAGCTTTGTTGACATTGTAATCATGTGCTCACATAGTGATCACAAGATCTCCACCCATGTACCAGCAACTACAATCCACTGAGTCCTGAGGACACAGCGGTCGCGGGAGCGGCACACAAGTGCTCATGTGCTAAGTGACATGCGGGTACGTCACTTAGCCTGTAGTAGCCACCTACCTGCAGTATATCTACTGCAGGTGGTTGGCAACTGGATATAATGGATATATTGTTGGTAAGATCACTTTCTAGTGCTGCTTTGAGTTTTTGATTAAGACACATGTGAGAGGAAGGGAGTGGGTGTGAAAGTACAGTGGGAGGGTTTCTGGCTGGATGAGGCTGGCTACAGATTATGATATTTTCTTACCTTCAACCACCTTTCCTGCTGCGCTGTTGTATTCTGACAGTGGGAGGTTTCCTCGTCGACACATTGCAATGATCACTGCTGGTAGCTAGAACCGCCAGCAGGTCTTGTACAAAAAAAAAAATACTAAAGTCGATTGATCGATCAGCTTCAGTACAACCAGCTTACCCATGGATAGATTTAAATTCAGCCAATTCCTGCTGAACTGGATGAATTTGCATCTGTCTATGGCTAGCTTACGAATGCAGAGGTGGCTGGGTGAAAATCAAGGGTGGGGAAGGGGGGTTGTCTGCATGAGAGTGTGAGGTTTGGAGGGCAGAGTAAAGAGTGCAGGAGGAGGGGTTTAGTGTGGAGTGCAGGGATTGCAGAGAGGTGTCTGGATCAGAGTGCAGGGGTGGCTGAATGAGAAATCAGGAGCAGAGGTTTTAGTGAGAGTGCAGGGGGGGTGACTGGGTTAGAGTGTGGGGGGCACTAAGCATCAACTAAGGTGGCTGCAGAGCACAGAGATGTCCCCTCCTCCAACTTGACAGGTTTGCAGACAGCTCAGACTCTCCAGTTGTCTCTTCCTCAAGCTGGCCATGGATTTTTGTTTTTTTTAACTGCGGTGATTCTGCTTGCGATTCCAAATCACCTAATATGAACTGAGCCTTAAAGTGGTTCTAAAGGCTCAAGGTTTTATGCCTCCATGTATTCTGTGCATGAAGGGAAAAAAAAAAAACCTGTGTGCAGCAGCCAATCCCCCCCCCCAATCCTTACCTGAGCCACTTCCGATGCAGTGACATTCTTGACAGCCTCTGCTGGGGACTCTTCCTCTTCATTGCTGTCAATTACAGCCAGTGAGCCAATGAGGAGAGATGCCAAACCCTGGCTCTATGTGTCCTATTACTAATACTTATATAGCACTGTCAATTTATGCAGCACTTTACATACATATATTATACATTAACATCAGTCCCTAACCCTCAAGGGGTGTACAATCTAAAGTCCATAACTCACATTCATACATACACACACTAGGGACAATTTAGACAGGAGCCAATTAACCTACCAGCATGTCTTTGGAGTGTGGGAGGAAACCCACACAGTCACAGGGAGAACATGCAAACTCTAGGCAGGAGGTGCCATGGCTGGGATTTGAACCAGCAACCCTAGTACTGCCAGGCAGAAGTGCTAACCATTTAGCCACCGTCTTATGGACACAAAGAGCAGTGGCTTGGGAAAGAGCACACATCGGCACCCCCAGGGCAAGCAGCATTCCCTTGGGGCACTGCTCAAGGGGGAGGAGCCAGGAATGCTGGCGGGGACCCGAAAAGAAGAGGATCGGGGCCACTCTGTGCAAAGTCACTGCACAAAATAGGTAAGCTTTAGTGCCATTTTAAAGTGTTACAAAACCTACAACAGTAAAATCTGTCTGTATATGCAGTAAAGCATGCTTGTTATACTCACTGTGGAACCTAAGGGGTTAATCCTCCACATTGTGTAAAAAGGCCTTTTAATCCTATTTTCTCTGCCCCTCCTCTTGTTCAAATGTGCACATCTTATCTCCTGATAAGACAGCCTGAACCTTAGCCATTCTGCACATGTTCAGTTTAGTGTGTATTGCTAGAGAGGTGTTTTTTTCTTGGGAGAGTGCATGTGATCAGCACAGGACCAATCAGCACTGTCCAGACAGAAGTCAGGGGTTCTGCATCCTCCTAGAGCAGAAAGAAAACTCCTACAAGCTTTAACCAGTGGTCTGCTGAACACTGATAGAATTATTTATTTTAGGTACTTACAGTATATAGCGCCATCAATTTACGCAGCGCTTTACATATATTTTGTACATTCACATCAGTCCCTAACCCTCAAGGGGCGTACAATCTAAGGTCCCTAACTTACATTCATACATACACATACTAGGGCCAATTTAGACAGGAACCAATTAACCTATCAGCATGTCTTTGGAGTGTGAGAGGAAACCGGAGTACCTGGAGGAAACCCACGACCCTAGTACTGCCAGGCGGAAGTGCTAACCATTTAGCCACTGTGCTGCCACAAGAAGTCACAAGACTGATCTAACTGTTAATGAGAAAAGGTATTTAGCAGTTTATATTTACTAAAATAATTGCATCCATGCTGTGTGTACTGTGGGAGACCAGATATAGTGAATGCAGGGTCCTGGGTTTAGTAACACTTTAAAGGCTTATTCACACAGAATGGACAGCTGCCAGAGAGGTAAACTGCAGCGGTTTCCTCTTCAGTAACTGTCTGTCTCAACCAGGGGCGGACTGACAACTCATGGGGCCCCCGGGCAATAGGGCATCATGGGGCCCCTGTGTCCTCGCCCACACTCAAACCACACCCAAAATAGCCTATGAAAGGTACCAGGGGCATCTCATGGGGCCCCCTACTGACCCCGGGCACTCGGGCAATGCTCGAGTTTCCAAATGGTCAGTCAGCAGGATTCAGTGCATCACACTTAGATTGTAAGCTCCAAGGAGCAGGGCCCTCCTATCCCTCTTGTATTGAACTGTATTGTTGCTGTATTGTCTCACTTTATTTTGTAAAGAGCTGAGCAAACTGTTGGAGCTATATAAATCCTGTATAATAATAATAATAATAATAATAATCACACAGCTTTCTTTGAATTTTATTTGAGGTGTACAAAATTACACTTCATGTCACTGTACAGAAGTGCAATGTGCTGCGTTGCTGTACAGTGACATGCGATCCTGTGCAGTGCACTACGGTAAAACGCAACATTTCTGCATTTTAGGACAGATCTGGGCTTTGCTGTAGTGTGAATAGAATACACAGAAAGCAGTTTTCTGTCTGCCCTGTGGTGACTGATATTCTAGGTCTCATGCACACTGGAAGAAATTAGCTGCTCTTTGGGGTGTCTGGCGTTGTTTTTTTTCTACCTCTAAACATTCCTACATGTTGCCTATGTGTCCAAAGAAAACAAAACCCACTGCCAGTATGTACAGGAGCAGCAGCGTTGTGGCAGAAAAACTGCTTGACACAACTAACACATAAATGGGTCTAATGGGTCAAATGCTAGGCACGTTAATTATTCTGGCCAATTAAATGAATTAATACCCAAACACTTGATGCGCCTAAACATATACACGTTTTTTTTTGGCCAAAACACATTGGTAAAACCTCCAGTGTGAATGAGGCCTTACGATGCAGTAAAACGCCAGTCACTGCACACAGTGTGAATTCAAAAGAAAAAAGCAATTGACCAGAAACAATCCATCCTGGCTTATTTATTTCAGGTACTTATATAGCGCCGTCAATTTACGCAGCGCTTTACATATATATATTGTACATTCACATCGGTCCCTAACCCTCAAGGGGCGTACAATCTAAGGTCCTCAACTTACATTCATATATGCACATACTAGGGACAATTTAGACAGGATCCAATTAACCTACCAGCATGTCTTTGGAGTGTGGGAGGAAACTGGAATATATGGAGAAAGCCCATGCAGGCACAGGGAGAACATGAAAACTCCAGGCAGGAGGTGCCATGGCTGGGATTTGAACCAATGACCCTAGTACTGCCAGGCAGAAGTGCTAACCATTTAGCCGCTGTGCTGCCCCAACTCTTTTCCCACAAAACCCAGCCTGGCAATCTTTGGGAAATCCTACAGACACACCAACATGGCAAACCTTCTGCAATGTCTGTATGAAGTGTCTGTGTGTACACAGCTGTGAAACCTTGGAAGACATTCACAATAGTGTCCCCCAATCTACCCCCCACCTGGAAGGTTTGTGTGGTTCACAGGAAACTGATCCCACCTCAGTGTGTGGTAAACACCTCATCATTACAATGTTAATTCCATGTTCTGCCAGCTTCAACTTCACTATTGTAATCCACAATTAACCCTCTCATTATTGTGGAGGGCTCCAAGGCGGGAAAGTAGAGGGTGTGGAAGGAGCAGACTGGAGAGAACAAAGGAGCCAGCAGCATGGCTGTGACCACCCCCATCCCACCACCTCCCTCCACGGCTCTGCCACCTCCCAAGATGAGAGAGCTCTGAACACTGCATGTGCTCCTGTCATACACTCCTCTCACCCAGTCCAAGTAACCAGGTTACACATGTTTACACAA